GTGGCAACTTGCGGGTTGAGGATTGTTTGTTGCCAGCCTCCCTTCCTCATAGTAGCTCTCTTTTCTATATTAATAGCCTTATTTAGTCCATACAACAATTGTAATTGTAATTTATAGTTGCAGATGGATCTCTTTACTTAATTGTCTATATCTATCATAGATATAATTTAAATTTGCTACTAGTGTTGTCGTTATGCTTCTGATTCTGTCATTAGGCTATACTGCTTTAGGTTATAATGCCATGAGATGAAAATTTTACTGTAATTTTTATTATTTAATATATTTTTTTATTTCTTATAAAAAAAATTGTCAACTACTTTAATAGTTTAATAATATTTTTTTATATATATAAACAAGAGATTATAAACTGAAATTGAATAACATACAAGTGAAAATAGATTAAGTGATAGGAGAACATTATCTCAACCAATATAAAAGAAGAAGAAGAAGAAGAATGATCAAAACTTTTGAAGGGGAATTCGAAATCACATGCCTAGCGTGTAATTAGGGGTACCATGGAAAGACAAAAAGACTACAGGCTCAGGTGTATAGTCTATTCTTAAAATGGTGTAACTTAGGAGAAATTAGGTTTGATAACGGTGAAATTGCAGAAAAAGTGTAAAGCATTAGCCAATTCCATTAGTTTTCTAGTTTGTAACCCAAAAGCACAAATTAATCCGTTACCGGCTTGCCGTCTCAGTTACTAATTAACAGAAATTTTAATCGCTTAAGGGAACAGCTTAGAGGCATAAAAATGCCGTAAAAATAGAAAATACAAACTGAAATGCCAAGAATACATTAATCTCAAACACTAAAGACACTTGTTTTCTATAAAGAACATACACACTTGTTTATTATTGAAAAAAGAAGAAGAATTTGTATGAGGTATGACATGAGAATTAGCGTGGCATAGTGATGCTAATTGAACCAGATTCACTTGTTCCCGTGACTGAAGTACCAGGTTCACTTGTTCCAATGACTGAAGTACCAGGGATGTCATAATTGGGAATAGGTCTCTTACTTGGTAGATTTGGAAGGTCTGCCTCAAAATTAAGCACCTGGATTGCTTGCCTCATTGATGGTCGCATAATGGGGGAAGGATATGCGCACCATAAACCAACAACCAACAAACACTCCATCTCTTTCGCATTAAAATTGGTAGCGAGGTTCCCGTCAGCAATATCAAGAAGCACTCGGTTCTCATATGCTTCCCAAGCCCAAACCAACAAATGCTCATCACAGCTGGGGTCTAT